TAAAAGTGATTTGATTTTGCTTTTTACAACTACATGAATGTACTATTGCTGTGTGATTTATTACTATTACTGAAGGTCCGTGGCTCCGAACCATAGTAAAGGGACCTCTGGCTAATACATCGTTTCCTGTCAGGCTAGTAGCCGAAAAATAGCTTTACTTTGTTGTCTGGGTCAAGTTTGAGACAGAGAGGCACTGAAAGGCTGCTCCAACAGAACTTATTGTTTCGGAAGAAAACACGAACACAGTCGAGTCTTAATAGCTTACTTACAACTGGGCTCGTCAGGCACTCTTCTTGGCTGCAGTGGTTATTATTATATTTACATGCTTCCAGCTCCCGTTTCTGCTCAATGACAACTAGTACTTTTCCACTCTCTTTTTTCTTCTCCCTCCTCGCGCTCACAGACACATCACGAGTATGGCAGTCCATTCTCCCTGCAGCACGGACTACACTGCCCATGAAGCTACATTCTTTAGGGCTATGACTGTAGCATTCTGCCTATTAACTTAGCACAACAACAACAACAAAAAGGTGCTCTCTCACCCAGGAAACAGGCAGAGAGAGCCCGCGTCACCCTGTAACCATGGCAACCACAACGCTGCCACCTGGAATAACAGAACATAGCAAAACCCAAACAGTCCTGACCCACGACAATATGAAACAGGAAAAAGTAACTGTATTCTGAATACCACCTTTTTAAACGGTAACTGTAACGGAATACAGTTACTCATATTTTGTATTTTAAATACGTAACGGTGGTACATGTATTCCGTTACTCCCCAACACTGTTAATGTGATTTATCAACAGCAATGGATAAACAAAATGGGTCTAGTGGTCTGAGTTTATGGCAAATAATCAATTTTAATAACATTTAGTTATGTTAGCATTAGCACCATAAAGGGACAAATCAACCGTTTGGTTGACCACTTTTTAAAAAACATTATTAAACATTTAATTTCACTTTTTTAATGCTGTCAAGTGACATACATCTGTTTAGTAAGTCCTCTAACATTATTATAAATCAAAAAATTATATCTTCCTGCCTTAGTTTCATCAAAAACACTCAAAATATGTTTGATGTTTTTTTGTTTCTGACTACCTGGTTGGTAGAGGGATAAGAAGAGCCAACCGTTTACATTCACAGTGCCTTCTGGTGGATTTTTTGGGCATTACAGATGTAAACCAATTGTTAGAAAAGACTCAATAAGGTAGGTTAATTTCAGTGAAAGCCTGAAAATGTGTTCTACCATTTGGTTGAGCATCATTTATTATATTTTATTGGTTTTATTACATTTTTTGCAGTTACACAAAGGTCATAAACTGTTTTGCACAGAAAAGAAACAAAATCAATCAATAAATAAAAATATTTGGAGAATAACTAAGATAAAAACCTTCAGGCTATTTGATTTTCAATATTCAACTTACATTTTTAATTTTTCTTTTGACTGTCAAAAGGGAGATATCTTGTGTATTACTGAAGTGTCTGCTCTGGATTGCATTTAAATGAGTTCCTAATATTTTGTACTCCACACTGTAAATGTCATATAGATATGTAAAATGTAATGATTAACAGAAATATTGAAAAAATAAAATAAATCATTGCCAAGTTGTGGTACTGAACTGCATTCAACCTCTCAGGTGTATCTAATAAAGTGGCTGCTGACTATAAATGGTTTCAGGACTCTCTGCCAAAAATCTAAGACGCCTTTCAGTGGCACAGTAGGCTGAACGCAGTCTTGGCCCAGATCAGGTCCAGGTTTCAGGGTTAATCCAATCAGGTAGCAACACACTAACCTGACTGTTGACAGGACATTAAATCTCTATTATCAGATGTCTGGGTTGGTAAATGGAAGAAAAATTACTTGTTAGCACTCTAAAATCCGTTCACCTGGACTGGCTATCAGACACTTAATAAAACAACAATATTTACAGTAAGATAAATTTCAGCAAGTGTAGCATTAAATTTGGGCTTTAGATGCAGGATGTCTGAACATGGGATAAAAAAAGAAAAAAAGGAAAATTATGAGCTTTAAAATAACCTTTACTCAGTTCAAATTGCATTTGATTGCTCTCTTTTCTTATTCTCCTCATAATATGTCAGATAGCTACTATGCCATGCACTAAGCAACTTGTCTGCATAGGTAAGCCAACATTAGCCAGTATAAATTCAGTTTTAAACTGGTCCATAACAAACACAACTTTGACCATCTTTTGATAACTATCCGGTCGTTAAGTCTGATGTCACTAGCCGTATCTGGGCCTAAACTCCGCTGCAGGTCCATATATCAAACGATCACTATGGCATTACTGAGAGTTGAAAAACTGTCTAAAGTCTTTCATCTTTAATAAAATGATCAGCGTTCTGCTCTACCAAGTGTAACAATTGAGTTTAACATCCAGGCATCCATGAAAACGGAATTTATGACATTTAACGGAGTTAGAAGTTAGCAGGAAGTTAGCTCGCTAGCTTCTATCTAAATACAATATAGCATGTCCTGACTGCGGGGTTTTGGAAACAAATTAAAACGTACAGCTCTGTTATCACTTCCAACATAAATGAAGACAGAAAACTAAACAGCAGTGACGTTTGTAGGGTTACTGAAGTTGGGCTAGCTGGTATATAATGATGTGCTACGTGACCGCTAGCGACACAGCTATGTTAGCATAATATAAACAAGCTAACTTTTTTCCACTCGATAAAAGTTAACGTGAGTGTTCTCGGTGGTCAGGAACAAATGTAATCGCATGGCAGGATGCTGTAAAAGGACCAAACTTCAGCCAGGAGAACAACTGAGATAATCCATCCACAATACGAGGTTAGTCATTCATATACTGCTGCATGGGCTGGGCTGTAGTTACATCCTAAGGTTTTAAAAACTGAGCTTAAATAAATGATTAGCGGTTTTGAGATTAAATAGAAGAAAATACAAAACATTAAACATGTTAACAACACAAAAGCCATATTAAACGCAGACTACTTTAGGCCCATAAGTAGGATTCGTCACTACATCACTTAACGACTGGATAGTTCATACCAGTCAATTTACATGGTTTTCTGGATTGAACATGATTTTGAGCTCTTTTTTTCTGTGTAATATTAGCATCATTAATATTAGCATGTTAGGGTTGGTGTCACATAGCCAGTGTTGGGAAGGTTACTTTTAAAATGTATTCCATTACAGAATACAGAATACATGCCCCAAAATGTATTCTGTAACGTATTCCGTTACGTTACTCAATGACAGTAACGTATTCTGAATACTTTGGATTACTTAATATATTATCATGCTTTTTACAACAACGTGAATGTACTATTGCTGTGTGATTTATTACTATTACTGAAGGTCCGCGACTCCGAACTGTAGTAAAGGGACCTCTGACTAATACGGCGGGGTCCCTGTCGGCTCGTAGCCGAAAAATAGCTTTACTTTGTTGTGTGGGTCAACTTTTCTTGCGAGAGACAGAGAGAGGCGTTGAAAGGCTGCTCCAACGGAACTTATTGTTTTCGGAGGAAAACACGAACACGGTGTACAGTCGAGTCTTAATAGCTTACTTACAACTGGGCTCGTCAGGCACTCTTCTTGGCTGCAGTGGTTATTATTATATTTACATGCTTCCAGCTCCCGTTTTTCCTCGATGACAACTCGTACTTTCCACTCCCCTTTTTCTCCCTCCTCGCGCTCACAGACCCATAACGTGTATGGCAGTCCATTCTCCCTGCAACACGGACTACACTGCCCATGATGCTACATTCTTTAGAGCTATGCTTGTAGCATTCTGCCTGTTAGCTTAGCACAACAACAACAACGAAAAGGCGCTCTCTCACCCAGGAAACACACAGTCGCGAGAGAGAGAGCGTCGCCCTGTAACCATGGCAACCGTAACGCTGCCGCCTGGAACAACAGAACGTAGCTGTCAAACAAAACCCAAACAGTCCTGACCCGCGACAATAATGAAACAGGAAAGTACCGCAGTGTAATCCATTTATTTCAACAAAGTAACTGTATTCTGAATACCACCTTTTTAAACGGTAACTGTAACGGAATACAGTTACTCATATTTTGTATTTTAAATACGTAACGGCGGTACATGTATTCCGTTACTCCCCAACACTGCACATAGCTAAATCCCATCTTTAGTTGATAAGGTTAACTAATTAATCCAAACTTCTACAGCTGATCTGGAAACTTAGCTGCCATTTTCACTTTATCAGCTAATATTACAAGTTTTACTGAAATAAATGCTTGTTGGTTAGCTTTCTGTGTTAGCTAGATCCACGATACTAAATAGTGTGTGTCAAATGCAGATTCTGTTGATGTGAGGGAAGCTTTTATCATTTATCAGAGATGTTCCAGACTCCTCTACAAATGAAAGAAAAATATTAACATCTACAATCAATCTAAATCAAGATGAAAACATACATTCATCACAAGAACCATATGTGTGAGGAGCAAAGAGGAAACTAATATAGTTTTAACTTATTCTGTCATTGTTTGACCTTTTACTGGAGGTTTTTAAAAGCAACTCCTAAGCTCTTGGAAATAGCTAAAAATGTATTTTGTTTCTCTAAAATCTATTAATATTAATATTATTTAATTTTATTATTTATATACATTTATTTTTGTTTGAATAGAAATTGATGTAACTCTGCAGTTTAAGGTTTTTAACAGTTTAAGGAGTTTAACCTAGGAGTGTCCTTCAGAAAGCAAAAACTGCTTAAGTGTTTTATGGTCACGAACAAACAGAGGATTACTGGATATGAGACTCAATTCAGTTTCAGTTCAGTTTTATTTATACAGCACCAAATCACAACACCAGATGCATAAAGGTTCTTTATATTGTACGGTAAACACCCTACAGTAATACAAAGAACATGGAGAAAAGCCCAACAGTCATATGACCCCCTGTGATCAACAGGAGTTGGCAGCATATACAACATGAATTCACCTCGATTAAACTGTGTGGAAAGTGTGAAGTTTGAGTGTTTGTGTTGTACCTACTTGTTGCTTTGATCCTGTCCAGATAAAGGTTTGACAGCAGTTTGATCCTTCAAACACTCTTCCTGCTTTCTTTGGTTTCTCTCACATTTCAAATTCACAGTTTTTCCTTTTCAGTCCAGTATATTTTGTCTTCATTTCACTTTTGCTCTTCAGCCTCAAAGTTTCTTCTTTAAAACATGCTTCGTGTTTGTCGTCTGTTGTCGAACATCTCCATCATGTTTCTCTCTGATGTTGAGTTTATGCTTCATAAGAGCAGTACTCTTTCTCTGAGAGGAAAACTGCAAAATTACAACGACAATGAGTCATTAGTTAACCTCAGCGGAACAAAATGAACCCAGTGAGGTAGTGAAGGTCACTATGGCTGTTTCTTGTCATTCCTGCAGCTTTAACAATGTCCCAAAAATCAGAAAAATGAGGATAAAAAGAACCAGAAGCGACAAACAGAGCAGAGCGAGGCCAAGTCAGGAGATGAGGATTTGAGTAATGAGCTGATGTGAAGCAGCAGATGTCTGACTGAGCATGTTAATCCCAAAAGAAATCCCCGAAACAAAGACAAATGGCCCTTCATTAATCAGACAGATTAACTGTGTGTGGGGAGGTTCAGGTGCCTGATGGGATTGGCAGACCTCCAACCAGGTCAGATGGAGTCAGCACGGTTCAGTTCAGGATAGAAACAACTGAAACTCAAGAGAAAACTTCATAAGGTCACCTCAGGGTGTTCAGACAAATTAAATAGTGAACAAGACAAAACATTAATGACAAAGTTGATGTTTTCCTATCAATCAACACCATAGTTGAAAGTTTGATGGTCTGTTAGTACAATTAACCACACAGCAGCCACTTTGCACACACACTCACTCACAAGCTGGCAACAGTCAGCCTGCACCCAACCCTATGTGACTGGTTGCAGGACTTTTTGACTGGCAGGCCGCAGTCCGTCAGGATTGGCAACACAACTTTAGCCAGCATTATTACAAACACTGGCGTCCCACAGGGTTGCGTCCTTAGTCCCATCCTCTACACCCTGTACACTCACGACTGTGTCACCTCCAAGAAAGATAACATCATTTTGAAGTTCGCGGACGACACTGCAGTGATCGGTTGCATCACTGGAGGAGACGAGGCGGCTTACAGGAGAGAGGTGGCCGGTCTGGTGTCATGGTGTGAGGACACCCTCAACACTGACAAGACAAAGAAGATGATAGTGGACATGAGGAAGAAGAGGAGACCTCACCAACCGCTGTCTATCCGGGGCCTTGAAGTGGAGAGGGTGAGCAGCTTCAGGTGCCTGGGCGTCTACATCACCGAGGACCTCACCTGGTCACTGAACACCACACAGCTAGTCAAGAAGGCTCAGCAGCGGCTGTATTTCCTGAGGAGGCTGAGGAAATTTGGTATGTCGGCCAAGATCCTCAGCAGCTTCTACAGCTGCATTGTGGAGAGCACACTGACCAGCTGCATCACTGCATGGTACGCCAGCACTACTGCTATGGACCACAAACGCCTGCAGAGAGTGATAACAACTGTGGAGAAGATCACCAGGACACCGCTGCCCTCTCTGCAGAGCATCTACCATCATCGAGTCCCGAGGAGAGCTGCCTCCATCCTCAAAGACCCCACACACCCCCAACACAGACTGTTTACACTTCTGCCCTCAGGGCGGAGGTTCAGAAGTTTGGAATCCAGAATATCGAGACTCAACAACTCCTTCTTGCCCACTGCCATCAGACTCTTGAACAGCTGACCCATTTTGAACAGTAATAATAATTTTTTGCACATCAGGTCATCTTACATATTATACATAATATAGAAAAAAATATAATACGTAATATAATATTGCACAAAGCAATATTATATTACGTATTATATTTGCACTTAAAATAAATAGAAGAATCAAAGGGATATTCTATCTGATATTAAACCCAGACTCTGAACATAACCTGCTCCTGACCAGATTATGTGCATATGTTACCGTGGTGATTTAGCCAGGTATAGACACAGCAAACTGACTTGAAACTCAACAGAGCACGCTAAGCCATTGAGCTCACTTCATTAAACTCGGTTCAGTGAAGACAAGATGAAGTACAGACAACAAGAAGTCAGAACTGCATTAAATTCAGTCCTTTGTTTGTGGTGGTGCATCCTGCTGGTCCGGTTTCACTAAATTCTTAAAGTTTAATGGTTATATGAGCACATGAAGGTCGACTTTGGCTGAAAAAAGTTTTCTCACTGAAAAAAACAAACTATAGCTTTATTAAGTAGACCACAGCTATTAGAATCAGATTAACTGACCCTTTGCAAGAAATTAGACACAAAGTTGTGGAGAATTATTTGTAAAAAACAAACTCAGTGATGACTCAACCTTAAGATACCTAAAGTTACAGAACATTAAAAAACCCAAATAACTGACTAAGTTACAAAACAATAAAAGAAACTAATAATAATTAATTTTCCCCAAAAAGGTTAAATACTTTCAATTTGAAAATATTCTGAAATAGTCAAACAATTATAACAAGTTGTGTTCAGGGGTTTAAAATATAAAAAATTAAAAAGAAAAAAGTTTTATGTTTATTTTTTGTATTATTTCCATGACACAATCTGAATTTCTGAATCATTCCAGGTTTATTATTAATTACTAATTATAAAATACTAAATTATAGTAAATTATAAATATAAACTAATATAAATGACAAAAATAAAAAAAACCTCACGGTATATTTCAGAATGATTTAAGGTATGGTTTAAATTATACATCAAGGATTTCCTAAAATCTTGAGATATCAAAGGAAATCCAGGACCTGGCAGCAGGTAAAACACCTCAAGATAAAAATCAGAACAGGCTGACATCAGAATTCATTTTTGTGACTTTTTATTAATTAAAAACAATCTAGCAGAACAACATTTAGTCTGTAACTGTAACACACACTCACTCCAGCGCTCGCACGTCATCATGTGACTGATGACTGCACAAACTAAGGGGAAATTTGTACTTTTGTGTTAAATCTATGTCGTAGGCTCTACATAGATTCAGTGCACATGTATAAATTCAACATCAGGCAACAGGAATTCATTATGTTTGAGCCATGAGGTACAGAGCTCAAACTGTGCCAAATCACACATCCGTCAAACACACAGTCACATTAGGAGTTAGCTCAGAGTGTTTGTAACATAAATCATGTGATTAAAATAAAGAATACAGACAGAAAACTGGTTGAAATAACATGACTGATTGGCCAACGCTCATTAAAACTTCTCTTCCACTTTCAAGTTTAGTGTGATTTTTATTTTTTAACCTCTTACTTTACTTTTATATTATGCATTAATATATTTTTTCTAAAGTAAGTTAAATTGACTTTATAGTGTTTTCATCAAAATGTTTTGTTTTCATTACAGATTTCAATTAAAGTTGCTTTACAATTTAGTATTTTGAAAATATTATATATATATATTCACATCCACAGATATTAATATAGCTGAGTATTAACAGGGCTGATGTAAAATGTTGATAAAAAGCCACATTTGCAATATGTTCTAATCAAGATCAATTGACTTGAACTTTAAAGCATAACATAAAAATCACATTAAAGCAACAAGTGGAACCTCTTTCTGGATTGTTTGGTTGCACATATGTAAAAATATAAAACTATGATAACATATTCATGCTGCCTATGAGTTCTTTACAATATGAAACACTTTTCTGCTTTAACAAGACATTTTGTGTGATACAAAGTCAGTAAACGGGCACAAGTCTCTCTTTTAACAACCAATCGTGTTAATTACCATCATGTAAACATCAACTATGACTCTCATCTCATGGAAGACGAATCACACGTTAAAATGTGGTGATGGGATGACCATGTTGAATTTTTGTTTTTCTTCAAGAAATATTTTTGTTCATTTTTGTTAAAATGAAAATAACTTAATAAGAAAACCAATAAGGAATTTTGAATCTTAACAAAATGTGTAATTTCTATCAACTGCCAAAGAAATAAATCAGTTATTCATTTTTTAAATATATTTTTTAGGTAATAGTTTACTTGGGATAAATGTAATAACAAATAACATTAGGGAACCAACACAATATTTGGCAGTTTGAGGGAAAAAAATTAATGAACTGAGGCAACAAACCAAGAAAATATAAACATGCATAAGTGATTCCATTGATTTTAAAGAAACAAGACTTAAAAATATGTTCAGCGAACTATTCGATGAGTTAAAAGAATAGGTTGGCACTTTGGAGAAAAAAGTGATTTAAGGGCATGCATTAACATTTTCACTTTATCCACAGTCAGAGGGAACAAATCAGAGAAATAATGGAGTAAGTCAATCAAACAAACAATGTACAAAAAAAAATAAAATTAATAGTTTGGACACAAACTAAACTTTTAGGCCAATAATCAACCGAGAAACAGGTTAAATTAACTAGTTAAGGGAACAAGTCAGCTACTTGGGGTGAGTGATTTTAATGGAGGAAATTAGTAGTGTGAGAGTAGAGATATGCTTTTTCAGGGAACAAATGTGAGGAGCTCCATATAAACACTTACGGAAACAAATTAATTTAAATGGGGTAACATGTGTGGGTGACCTAATTGACATTGACATGAACATAGCTAAGGAGTTTCACATAGTTTCCTAAGGGATTAATAAAGTATTCTGATTTGTCCAGGAGAAGTACATTAAACTAACCCTGACATTACAGAGAAGAACATTTTGATGGGTTTATTTCCAGTCACAAAGAAAGCAAAGCTGGTAGTTTAACTCCACCGTGCCTACAAGTTTAACCCATTTTGGTTTCAGATTCGTTTTTGACGATGAGGATTTGGCAGGTTTTTGCTACATTGAAATTTAAAGTTCTTTTTTTTAAATATTCAGCATGCAGTTTAAGCGATTATGCCCTTAATTTGTTTTGACAGTGGACACACACAGGACAAGTACCTTTAAAGAGTAAAAATTTGAAATAATTTAATTTTGAAATGTTTTTCACAGAGTTTGTATCTTTTTCATTTGTGTGGCACTCATCGTCTTCTATACTCACTCCAGTGTAGTGTTTAAAATATCATATAATAAGTTAAAACTGGTTTATGTTGGCATACCGCACTGTGGCAAGCAAAATGGCACACATGACACGTACGCTGAATAAATACAGAAATAAATAAATAAATAAAGTTCGTCATCAGTTTGTGTCTGAGTGACAGCAGGTCCAGTTGTTTCTGTGTGTGTGTGTGTGTGTGTGTGTGTGTGTGTGTGTGTGTGTGTGTGTGTGTGTGTGTGTGTGTGTGTGTGTGTGTGTGTGTG